AATTCACTTTAAACAACGAATAAATAAGGGTGCTGGAGATTCACGTGACCCGAGTAATCCCGACTGTTGAAATTTTTTTTCACAAAGTGAGCCTAATTTTCCAAAGTACATCACCAAGTCTGTATTATAATTTAGTCAAAGAGAGCAATTGTTTAAAGCAAGCAAACGATTTCTTGAGAGAACTGTTAGTTTTCAATTTACTTATTCTAATTACGTCTCAATAGTTTTGCGACTGAGTAGGTTTTTATTAATCCACGGGAAATTATTAGATAAATTCTTCTTTGCTACAGGTTCACTCACTGGAAATCACATACATATATATGTTTAACACTGGGTTACGCTGATGAAATTGTGTGTTAACTTCAAACGCATCGAAAAACACTAAAGAAAAAACTCCTTTTATCGTGTACTGCCAAAAATAACTAACCCTCTCTAACGGTTGTTTATTAAAAACCTTATTCACTAAAACAAAAAAAACCAATTGATCTGACAAGCTCTCATGGTCGAAAACGGATGCCAATTTTGTAGTAGATATTGACAGTTGCACAATACAAATCCAGCCACGTTTTGTATTTTTGCACAATCTGTAGTTCAGTTTCATCTGCCAGAAGCAAATTTAGATAGGGCAATTTGTAAGCGATCGGTTACAGCAACTGGGAAAGACCCATGGGTTGATGAAACCAACATTTGTGTATTCCGGGACTCTGATTCTGAGGTTTTTGAACAGGAGCAGTAAATTTTGAGGTTGTTAAGAAACATCAATGAAGTAATCCACTCCAAACAAACCTTCCATTTTAGGAAAATAGGTGAAATCATGTGATCAGTGGATGGGAAGTATAGTCACAGGAACTCCTGCAACGATAGCCGGATACCATTGCCGTTAATTCCAAGCGTCTCTACATAAGCCAACTGAGCTCAAACTGGCAGGCAGTTTCCCGAGTTGATCTACTCTCGGGAAGTTCCACCGACCACGAAGGCACATTGTTAGTGATCCAACAAACTTTAGCCCATGGGAATTAGTGTCCAATTAGTTACACTGTCTGGTTTCTAGAGTGATAATGCAAAACGGACAAGGCGGTAGTGAAAAAAAAACTAAAAAACACTCAGATAATGTATAAATACAAAACTCAGTTCGTGCTCAGTTCAAATTATAACCCAGAAAGAACCTTCATTACGATTCCCTGATAAGCATACGCACTTGATATATATGATTTCCAATGGAGAAATTTCTTCCTGCGCCGTTTGTTCAAAAGCATATCTGTAATCTTCACAGCACGATTTTTTTGTTGGCCTACAACACCGTATGGCATCAGTTGGACATCGTTCCCTTAAACGTTCACTCGGAGGTTCATTTGAACCTAATCAAGCGTAGGTTGAGTTTGTTCATCCGCAATAAAGAACCGAGCCCGGACCATCTTTTGCTTAGCTTAATTCGGAACATCACAAATCACTGAGGCTGTAAAGCCATTTTAATCTTTGCAGAAACACGACAACTGTGTATTCGACAAAGATTATTTTTGGTTTGATTCCGACCGAACGCTTACTTGTAGCAAGCTTCACGGTTAGTCATCCAGGCGTCATCTTTGTGCTTCAGTTTGACCTTGAAGTCTAAACCACGAATCGAAGATTAGACCATCATCAGGGTCATAATGGAATTCCGTAATGCTGTTGGCGATCGAGTCGACTGGATTTGTATCTAGAGCGGGATATGATAGTTGAATTTTTACTTGCTGCGTCAGTGCTTCCAACAAACGTATCTGCTGTTTCAACAGAATTCTCTTCAGCGTCTTAACGGTTATTGTCGTGATTTCGTGGGTTCGGGCGTTGCCAAACGTTACCGCTGACTGCGAGTCTTTTTTGGCTATTGCCTATTGCCCAGTCAAGTGTTTATATTCATCTCCACAATCTTTGTATGAGAAGTCAACTTCTTGTGCCTAGTGACTTTCAGCTATTTAGTATCTAAACTGGTGTGAGGGTAAACCGTTTTTCGGATTTCTAAAGTGTCCAAATCACCCTTAATTGAAGAATGAGATTCTGTAATGTCACGGAAGTTGATAAGCTTGAGTGCACAAAGTCCCCGTCTGAAAAAATAAACCCCTTTGTGTAGACGTAACACAATACAGACAAAATCTAACTGAATATCTTGTTTATAAAGTTCTTCAACTTAACATGCTTTGCTAGAATGCCTCGTGTTTTAGTTGTTATGATACGATATGATATAACTGAAGTTCAACGTTAGGAAAACGCGATTGATACGATATGATATAACTGAAGTCCAACGTTAGGAAAAACGCGATTCTAAGCTATAGAAACCTGTGCAGACAGATCTCTGTAATATAAGCCATAGCAAATATCACGCTTTTTTATTCTGTTGCTTCGTCCTTCAACCGATCGCACGTGAGATGTTTCTGTGTGTTTTACTGCGTCACTAGTTTTTACGTGCTCCGTTGATCTCGGTTCACCTAAAGCCTTCACATTTTTGGTTTATACATGTTAAATTTGCTCTCAGTATCTTACTCAAATGGTGCATGTCAAACTGTTATCGACAGAACACCTACGTCCTAAAGTTGGGGGAACAGCACGGCGCCAAAATCCACCGCAACGAGGGCTCCCAGGAGTAAATCATGGCCGATACCTATGCTTTTGTATGGGTGATACAATAGAGCATCTCCTTCGACATTCTCAGCAAGCAATGGATTGCAGCGATCAAATGTACAAAGATGACGCGAACGAGATAGCAAAAACTGACAACCGATTCCATACAGGACTAATAAGTTTGAATGCAGGCTCAATTTATTTTGAATACTCGTTTTCAAAATATACACTCAGACAGTAGCGGGATTCTGTCAAGTTAAATATAGGGATTAATCTTGGTGACATTACCTCCAAATGTACAAATGGAACACAGTAAGCTGTAAAATACCACATAAATATTTCTGGGAGATAGTTCTCCTCTTTTTCTAGTATACATTATGAAATCAGAAAACAACCTTCCAGATGATATTCACCTGAGGTGCTATATTTCAAATTGCGAATGGCTTGCGACAAAAACCGAGCAGAACAGAATCGATGACACAAATAATTGTTGATTGCTTTCAGACATATTCCAAAATCGACAAAGATGCTTTTGCGAGCTCACAGGCAAGAAAGAAACGGTTTTGTAGTGTAAATTCGGATTCGAGTTTTCGCAGGATCATAATCAGCGATTTTTAGCACAATCAAACTAAACTGAGAATACGATTTTTTGTCGAGATTTTGTCCTGCAATTGCAGCTATTTTATACTGGAAAGCCTAGAATCACTGTACTCTTGTCTCATCCTCCTTGGGAATCATCAGCGATGCGCGTCTCACGAAACTCCGCAGAGTTTAAAAAGAGAGTATCCTGAAGGATGAGCGGTGCTATATCCTGTTCCAACGCGAATTAATCACACTGCTGATTAGCCGATCGTAACCGAACGGTTGAGTGTTACTATCCGGGAGGTTGCTGGTACGAGGCTCTCCGGAGTTTCGTGAGATGCGCGCTGCTGATGTTCTTAACGACTTTCAGACATATTCCAAAATCGACAAAGATGCTTTTGCGAGCTCACAGGCAAGAAAGAAACGGTTTTGTAGTGTAAATTCGGATTCGAGTTTTCGCAGGATCATAATCAGCGATTTTTAGCACAATCAAACTAAACTGAGAATACGATTTTTTGTCGAGATTTTGTCCTGCAATTGCAGCTATTTTATACTGGAAAGCCTAGAATCACTGTACTCTTGTCTCATCCTCCTTGGGAATCATCAGCGATGCGCGTCTCACGAAACTCCGCAGAGTTTAAAAAGAGAGTATCCTGAAGGATGAGCGGTGCTATATCCTGTTCCAACGCGAATTAATCACACTGCTGATTAGCCGATCGTAACCGAACGGTTGAGTGTTACTATCCGGGAGGTTGCTGGTACGAGGCTCTCCGGAGTTTCGTGAGATGCGCGCTGCTGATGATTCTTAACGAGAATACAACAGGTTTACTGTACGTTTCGGCTTTTCAACAAATGCGGGCTCTACTTACAGGACGAAATCTTTACAAAAAACTGAAATCCGCTCACAATACTGACGCCATGATGTCTAGATCTCTCCCAAGCATTTTTCTCGCTTCTGAAAAAGAAAATAATAACATTCTTACGGCTCCGGTTCGAAATACACGTTGTCTCTCAGGAACATTCCCTTTTCAAGATCAGTGTCTATCTGCTTCGGGATAATGCGTAATGTTGTTTACCTGTTGATTCCGCAATAGCTGTCAGGTATCTGTCGCCTTCGCCTACAAATAAACTATGATGTGACAGTGAAGGAACCGAATTTTTTTGGTTTTTGGAAACTACGCATAAGAAGCTACCACTGAGTATGGAACCTCTTGATCTGGACGTACTGATGTGTCTGGTGAGAGTATGCGTTTGATCCAGCGTGATGGGTAACATGTTTCAGTGGAGCACAAGGTGTTAGTTTCCAGTGAAAGTATTCATCTACATTTCCTGCGTCCTAATACCTTGGAATAACTGAATGTTTGTCAAAGAACGTTGGGTTTCACTGCATGGATATCCACTGGATAGTTGCAAAGCCGCAGAGAATCAGGACATATTTCCCTGGGATTTTTTTAAGACTGAACAAACAAAAACAATTCGCAAAATGAGATGTTTTTTCCTTGGGTATCGCTCCCAGTTTAATAACTGAATTTCGCAAAAACGAATTCAGGATATATCAAAAATCGTCTCTTAAACATTCCACCACAAACCGTTCATTACACACATTTGCAGTTTATTTAGAAACGTTGTTTTGGTTAAATTATTTGGGATCGTTACGGCGAAAAACAAATCCTTCGAAAACATAATGCCATCCGATCACGCGAAAACCATTGATATTTTCATACGCATGACATACAATCATAATTCAACTGGGCATTGTCAGACATTGCTTGTCTGTCAACAATTCGGCTGTCTAACGAAATATCGCTTCTGCTATATTTTAGTGGGCCGAACATTCAAAAAACGGGGAAGTTTATCACAACTATTGCCTCAACTACGATTCGGCGTTGACTTATTTGGATACTCTAAGGAAGCACGAGCAGTTTAACGAGTTTGAAAAGGTAAGATTCCCGGAACAACCACTTTTGTTTTTTGTCGGTGTACTTTTGAGTGATTAGCTGGTGCGGCGATTGCATGGTGCGTTTGTAATGAAACGACGTGAGATCGTTTTCCAAGGTAAATCATTTTACAGCCTTCCAGGATGTTTGAACAGATGGTATACCCACTAATGTTTGCAGTGATTTGACCAGGTATAAAAATTTAACCCTGCAAAATCTTTTAAATCCAGGTGATTTTTTCAAAAACCGCATTTTGCGATGGTCTGTTGTTGCCGGGGTAGCCAAAACCCAATGGCAAATCAAATATTTTACTCCTTATTGGAATATTTAAAAACACTAGAGGTTTTGCTGAATAAAACTTCATGATAATGGTCTCTCAATTGGCATAAAAAAGACTGGACTTCGTACCAGCTGGAAACTTTAAGACAGACGCCGAAATCACCACACTTGTGCCGAGCAAATTGCCAATCAGTGTTTTTCGGAGAAGTCGTTGATCAATATCCTAGAAATAATTTTTGAGTATGATAATGGTCTCTCAATTGGCATAAAAAAGACTGGACTTCGTACCAGCTGGAAACTTTAAGACAGACGCCGAAATCACCACACTTGTGCCGAGCAAATTGCCAATCAGTGTTTTTCGGAGAAGTCGTTGATCAATATCCTAGAAATATATTTTTGAGTTAACGCATGACTGGTATATCAGATGGAATTTCATTATTTGGATTCTGAAATGCGTGAATCTAAGAAATATTCCTTGTTTAAGAGTGGAAATGCTCACTGAGCACACCCTGGGTAGTATCTTTTAGAGATCTCCGAAAATTCACAGAATCATAGGCCCAAGTTTCTCAAATTGCAGGCCTTTAATTTCTACTCAAAATAAACTTTGTGTATTTTTTACTATTTCACTCTATAAGCAGAAGCTAATGGTAGTTAAAAAGATAGCTGTTTTGAGGCAAATAAATTCAAAAGTGGAAACAAACTTCAACACTTGAGCAGATTTCATCTGACTACTCTACTGCTGAGTGCTTTAGTATGCCAGAATTTAGACTTTTCCTAACCTTGAACGATTGAAAATTGAAACAGAAAGTACACATACACGGTAGCAAACCGTATCACTAGTTGTAATTTTACCCAGTTATAGATTTTGTGGTATTTGAACGTCAAAAATAATCATGTGGGTGAGCACCTCGTACGTTTCACAAAAAAATCGGCTACGGGTTTATGGACTGGTACAATCGCTTGTCTCCGGTACTTTGAGTTCCCCACAGACCTCATTATCAGGTGCTTAACAGACATGACCGTCTTATTTTTGGAGTCTGACTGGCCAGACTTCTGATCTTTTACGATTTTAGCACCTAATGATGTGTGAATTCTGAATTTGAACGTAGCGCACTCAAAGCCAGCCACCCCCTCCGAAGGGACTACTCGGAACAAAATCCCAAGTTAATTTCCCCTCCAGGAACGGCTACTTCCGTTTTCCGCTCACCAAACGTGAAATTACTATGCCAACACTAATATATATGTATAAATACGTGTTCTTCAGGACAGCCATTAACTGTTAGTGGTAACAATCTCACCGGTGACCCAATTTCATATTCGTAATAACTTCTGTACTTTTGTTTGCGAAAAACAAATACCGATTGAGTTAACCGTAGAAATCCCGTGCTGATCTAATCATTGTGGCAGCGCATCAGAGTACTCCAAAACAAACACTCAAAAACTGCAGCGTGGTCAGACGGTTTGAAAACAGCGCCATTACGTGTTCGTTCGATGGTGGATTAGAGTTGCGCTTAACAAAAATATATTGCCTGATAATTTGTGGCTTTCGCTAGATTTTAATGTTGTTTTTTCATCTGAGAGAAACCATCGTAAGACCATGCCATTAGGACCAATAAAACTCGTTCTCAAAAAGTATAAAAACTTATTGAAAGTGATTGGATATTTAGGCCCGAGACGCAGCTTCCTCCTAGTCATTCAAGGCGGTTGACGCCGTTTTAACAAGAAAATCGATAAAATTGCAACCCAAATTCCTAATTCATAATAAATATGATATATCCAGTACGATATTTAAGTCTTTCTATTCATCACCCCCAACAAGCTTTGTTAACGTTAGATTCTTCGAAACATTTCGCCGAGTGCGTCAGTCTCAATGGAAAATTAGCGACTCGAAGCTTCTATACAGATAGCTGTGATTTTTTGAGACACCTAAATCTATATTTTGTCTCCTTTCATGTGTGGTCTCGTATGCACACCAGTATTACTACTAATACTAAACCATGTACTGCCGAGAAATATTCTCATCTGGTAGAATCTACTGAATGGAAAAAGTGTTCTGTCTGATAACAAGAAGCAGGTGCATTGAAATTTAAAAAAAAACAAATAATTTTAGGCTTTATTTGATGCGGACCCAGTGCAGATTCATCGGAAACCACAACAGGACATCTCCAACTCATTTGATTTCTTCGTATTTCCGAAATACGTTTGTGCGTTCGTTATCATGCAAACATTTCCAAGTTCCTTCAGAGCAGATTGAATGATTTCATTCTGTACGCAACCTGTTCCAAGTTTTCTGTTTGGATTTGTTTCACGAAAAATTATTTGTGTTTCTTATCCGAAATTTGCGTTGACTTCTAAGATGCAATCGCCCACAACCTATGCCCGTCGAGTGCACTCGAATGCGGGATAACAAGTCCATTTAAACGGCCTTGAAACTTATAAACTTACGTCTCAACTTAATCAATAATTTGTCTCCAAGCCTCACCTCCCTCTGTACTGTTTTCTTGTCTCTTCAGTGGTGTGAGCAAGATGCGCGTTGTCGCAGACTGCAACTGACCGACCTGTTGATCGCTCCAATGCAACACTATATGAAAATTCCCTTGCTGCTCACCAGTATTCGGAAGTACACAGCCAATCCGTCCGAAAAAGAAATGATCACCAACTGTTTGAACACAGTTGAAAGTTCCTTGAGTACGTTTCATTGTGACTTCTCAAGGTATCTAACGCTGTCCACGAACTATCTAAACGATATGTACTTCAACAAATGTGCCGAAATAAGAAGCAAGAAAGTGGTCCTTCATAACTTGGATGAATCTGTATCGATTAGGCTTCTGAGCACTAGCCGCCTGCATCACAAGCTAGGAGGCGCCAATAGTCACGAATTTTTACGAGTTTAGGACATAATGGAAACCCTCCAGGGTACATGAATCCGCATCGCCAAGAAAACCGAGTAAATGAAATAGAGCTTAACGTTTCCAGAAGTAAATTATCTCCAATAAGCTTTGTGAACAACTCAACGGGTCTGGAAGGTTGTGGTGGCGTAAACCGGATAAAATGAGCTGAGATTCAAGTTTCAAGATTACCAAGTAATCGAACGCAGCATTTTCTCCCATTTTTCGGATCCCATTTTGTGAGCTGACAAGACAAAACTTCGCAGCTAGCGTTCATTCCATGCAGAGTGACTTTGAAACACGCCCATCTGTTTCACCAAAGTGACCAAAGCGTCACAAGCACACATCTGTGAAGCTTTGTTTCAATAGATTATATTACAACCTACCACGCGAGGTACCCGTCTCTTGGGGTGCAGGGATATACCTGGTTCCACTGAGGACTCCCAAATATCACGGTTTTTTAAACGGTTTTTTTTAACTCCAAATTTAGGACAACTTTGGCCTGTCCCTAAATCTGTGGCTTCCCGTGCCAAAATGTAATAAATCGTTATGATTTAGAACATATGGATCAAATGTCAGCTGGTGTGGCATTTGTCTGATTAATTAATTAAGCTCACAATATTGGAGTTTCCTTTATAATTATTCGGCTAATCTGCAACCCACGTGTAACAATTAAGGTACCGGACAAGCACGGAACACCACGTGTAGCTATGCACTTTTACATCGACAGGTTTGCCTGCCAAAAAACGACACATGTGTCTGTCGTAGCTGGCGTGCATTCACAATCGGAGAAAGGAGCTTGGCCATAAGTTGATTAATTCATGAATACACTTTCAAGACATGAATTGAATACCGCAATGTTGATTGCACTAATCGATGGGTACCTGACTTTGTTATTTCTTCAGAATTAATCTGAAACCCCGATGGCCTCTGCATGTTTCTTTATTTCTTCTAGATTCTACTTATTGGGCATATACATTACAAACATATACATACATACAACAACATACGTACGAACATACATACATATACATTACAAACAAGCTAACCTTGTTTGGCGTTTACTTAGCAGTCTATTCGTATCAGTACTTTCTCTGGAGCCAAGTAATGCATGTATGTGCTTGAAAAGTATGCAATCAGTGGCCATTTTTTAATAGAGCTGAGTTTTTAGAATCTTGCTAACTGACAGCTAAGTGTAAAATTTGGTGCAGAATGTTTGGGTAGCTGATTTCTTATGAAAAAAAATTGCAAAAAGTAACACATGCGCACTGTTTTCATGTGGGTTTTGGAAACCTTAAATTCTGTTACCAAAACTCTTTGGGTGTGGCACAATTTGCGACTCCACCCAAAGGAAGAACCGGGGCCGAGATACTACCAGGTTGCTCAAGCCTCCCAGTTGACATGCCGTGGTTTGAATTAAATCGCTGGTAGTTCGGTCAGTAAATTCAGAACAGCCGAGTTATATTGAGCTGTACCATCAAAATGGAGATGAACTCAGTCTACAGTTATTTCTAGTCAAGCCAACTTAAGGAAGCTAGGCGATATTTGTCGTCTGTTATTGATTACCAATAAATCAAGCCTTTTTGTTATGCACAGCTCAGTAAATAAAGAAAAGAGCGTATTACCCAGCCTGGTGACAAGCTTTCCCTACTTCCTTTCGAATTAGAAGCACCGTACTATAACTCCAAAACACGCATTGTCCTATCGTTTTCGACTCGTCCAACTGTTTCTGAGGTGAAATTTAGTAATCCGATTCTCAAGGTCATGCTGAAATACAACTCTAGCAGGTTTGTAAAATGGCTGGTCAGTAAGTTGACCCGGTATCTTATTAGGTAGAACTCCAGACAAAACTGAATAAATGAGATGAGGCAAAATGAGATTATTTTGTCGGGATATCACACACAGTTAGTTTGAAGACACCAGATTGACCATAACTTCTGAGTAGGTGAATGGATGTCCAAACAACCTACCTGGCCCACTTATACCATGTTGCTACACTTAAAACTGACCTAGTGAGCTGGATTACTTTAGAGACCATTTGATTAGTTCCTTCGTGGCAACTTCACATACATGCCAACTTTCTGAGTCACAAACGTCTTGTAAATCAGTTCAAAAATGGCAACTCATAGTAAGCCTTGAACAGTTGCCTGGGAGTGCAGGCGTCTAGTAGTCCTCCCTCAGTATGGTAGGGATTTTAAATATACTGAAGAAAGGAAATGAAATATTTTGAAACGAATGTCATTGGAAAGATGTCTGTTTCAAAGTCAGAATCACTCATGCGGATGAAGCAAACTCAAGCCATCTGAAATCGATCAGAATCGTCCAGCAAGTTTCGACTTTCGCTGTTGCCACCCGAGCGGCAACTCTTGAATCTTGGTTGAAAGAATCGGTCGATTATCAAGTCATCATTCACGTGTTTTGGCAAAACAAATCGGCATTCAGGCGCGAAAACGGACAAGAAATCTGCAATCTGTCCAATGTATTAGATTGGGGTAGTAGCAACATGCCCAGCGCGTAAGCCTGAGATTCAAACGGTGGGTCTATCATGGGTATGAACCGATGACGAACTATAATATTAGAGGTGAACCCTACTCCAAAGCATCCCGGACTGGATCAGCACTACCCAGAATGATTTCACCTGAAGATCACGAAGACTATTTCAACGGATGTAACTTGAATACACATTTGACAACACCTGCAACCCGAAATGAACAAAAGAATTTGTAAGAAACTCCAAGGACATTCAGTACCATCCTATTCATACGGGTTGTCACACAGTTCCCTTTGTTGGGCCGGGCTTCAACGCAGATAATAATGACGTGAGAGTGTAGGTTTCATTGAGGCGTCGCGTTCCAGTACAGACCGAATAAACTAATGATGAATCAGAGGAGCAATGACGATAAGTTTAATAAACACTAACTTCAATGAGGAACCAATTTGCATGATTGGTTGGCCCTCTTTTGTGCGCTCGTTCTCGGGTTTTACAAGTGTAAAAAGCCTGCTTTTTCGAAGAAAAAACACATTAAATCCTCAAGACACACTCAAATGGCACCTATTCTACACGAACTTAAGAATGAAAATAGTAATTCAAACGGTGGTTGGGCGTGTGATATTGACTGCAATACCCACCATAATGCGACCGAACTAATCCGCAGTTTCTGATGGTTTTTAACGCAATGAATAAGAGGGGACCATGACATCTTATGATGTGCAACCGTGTTTTGTGTAGTCTACGCACTTGTTGAGTAGAGAGAAATGAAAAAATTCGATGCGGAAGAAAGTGGTCTAGGCTGGTTAAATGTGAGAATTAAGTTTTGTGCGTATATCAGAATAATAAGACGAACTAGAAATCCAGATTCAATGCAGCGTAACTACCAGCACGTATGTATTCTAATTGGAGTATATATACAGCATATGGAATATTAAAATAAGAGAATAATGAATAGAGTAACGAATAGAGTATCAGTCATGTTCATCACATCCGCCACACCTTGAATGAGCGTGTGGATGTTTGTAGTCCAGTGGTGGTCTTGACCGCAACCTTTCGGATCTTCTCGGAATGGAAACTTCAGAGTCTTCACACATAGTGCGTTCTTCACATACAACTTTTTGTTCGGATAACATAAGGTCATTTACAAAGGACTCATTAGTATTTGAAACAGCAGGAGTGCCATTAACAGACTGACCTCTGGTATTGAACTGAACATGGTCAATGTGTCTCCGATGACAAGAGAGATCATCCAAATCGAGAATTGTGACCATCCGTTTCATTTGATGAAAATAATATTCCTGTAGCAGGTCGCAAACCATTACCCTTGAAAAATGTAACATCAGCCGTTTTGGCACAGTCAAGACTTGTACGCAACAAACGAGATTTAAACAGAAGCGCGGGACTCTTCCCAGTAACGGAATGAACGGCGTCCCTGTATTGCATTAGAAAATTATCAATCCCACGGTCCAATTCCACAAAAGTAGTAGGAGCGAGTGAAATAATGGCAGACTTTAGTGTTTGAACAAGTGGTCATGTTCATCACATTAAAACTACTGAGAATAAATCCCTTTCGGATTCATTTCTACAATAAAAGCCACATTTTCTTGTTTTTATAACCATCTCACAGTCACCCAAGTTCACTTTGAACCAATCACTGGCTGTTTTCTATTCACTCCTGTTTCTCTAGAATCTCTGGAAGATAAGATGCGTTGGCTGAAAAACTTTGAACGTCTCCAGGAGATCCAGTCCCAATTGGTTTGGCCAGCGATATCCGAAATGGAGCCACGCATATTCATACCAGAACTACTTCGCCAGAGCTTAGCACATCAACCTTGTGAGCGATTGATTGCCAATCCCAAACGACAGCTGCTACATGAAGGGTTTCTGACTCTAAGCGGTAGGTTGAACATATTTGTAATCGCTCTTCTCTGTGTAGGAACCAGGGTAGGTTTTGCAAGCTGTGCTCAAAGTTAGCATGACAGAGTACATATTGTACGCTCTTCGTGTGTGCATCGGCCTGTAAGTTGCGCAAGTACATTTGTTAAAGATCACGAGACTGCCAAAATGTTGTCTTCGTTGTATCCGCGGAGCATCTAAGGTCATCTAACCTGTACTCAGGATTTACACGAATCAAACAGTCAAAATGATGACTCAGGACCAGTGACTAATCCAATCATCCCCTCCGACGAATATGATGTTGGTTGGAACGACAGCAGAAATCCCCGACACCTTGTGGCACGTGTTGCGAATAGTGTTCTCTCGATTCACTTGGAAATTTTTGTAACATTATATGACCCAGTAAATTAGATACTAAAGAGTTTTTTTTGCCAAAGGCGGTGCAGAGTGTTGCGTCTAGCCAACGCTTTAAACGTGTGATCGTGCCATGTGGATCGGTTCAGTCCCACAACAGAAAATATGTTGGTCCGTTTCGATAGCAATATCAGCAGCTACGCTTCCAGGAGAAGTTAACAAGAAAAACGGCTTCCGCGTAGAGCGACCTCAAAGGCATGGAACGTCAGTTGCGACGCACGCATGACGAAACACACTCCCATTCATTTGGACCTATCTTCGATGGCATTACAGTTGCTTTCCGTAAACACCTGTACAAACGTCCGGTCTAGATGATCTACTAACTTCTACTGAGGTGATATTATGAAATACCTTGTTTCCAACTTGAAGCATGTTAAAAGTAACCTAAACGATACGCATTTTATAAAAACGTGAGGTCATGCAAGAGATGCGAAGGAGAATAATCTATTTGTACCTTTTGAACTCATGTTATAGTAAACAGGATCACATAGTTAGACTGTTTTCAGATGCAGAGGGAATTTAGCTGTTGACGAATACCAACCTAGGTAACTGAGGGCGCGGTTGTACACCAGATGATCTGACACCTTGCTTTTGTGATTAATGCATGTGGTAATACCATTGTAACGGTGATACTACTGACGGGGAGGCATGCTAGCTGTATGTTTGCTTGTAAATTCGCTTTGCGTCACTTGAAAAGGGAGATCTGTTGCGGGATGTGTGGAGTCAATTCGTAGTATTTGATTGGATTTGAGCAACAGTCTATGAATAACCGGGAAAGTTTAGGAAGACGCGTTCAAAGAGAAGGTGGATATTCAGTTTTGTAAACAAGATGCATACGAGAGTTTTACTTCCCCGCCCAGTAGGCTGTAACTGATCAGATGGCTCCGCAACGAAGGCTTTCTTCCTTTCACCATGACGTTTGTTAAAGAGTCGCTGGAGAGACGCAAAAATTATCAAAAGATCTCAACTCGTCTACAAACGATTGTACTTAAAGCGCATCCATAGTGATGCCCACGACTCTATATATTAAATCGCAAATACCAGTGAAGCAAACCTGACTATTTACCCTGGTGCTCGCATACTGAGGATGACCTTGGAATTCCGACGTCCATACCTAATATTAGGGGTATCTTCATCAGCATACCTGAAAACGCGGCTGCCGAACTCATTCTGCTTACGCAGGAGAAGATATTACCAGTTCTCAAGTTCAAAATGGATTGCCAATAAGCGATCCTATTAAATGAACCACTTAGGAAGTTGACGTGTGCTACTATTTTTCCGTATTACTTACTAAGAATAGCAAGACTACTTATTAAGAGACCTTTGAAACGGCTTCATGTGAAAGGTGGTTTCTAAAAAGATATAACCTAGGTGCGTTAGGCTTTTTAGAAAAAAGTTGTTTTATATCACCACAAGAACCTGAGGAACGCCGCTTTTTACAGCAGTGAAACATCAGTGTCAACACTGATGTTGCTGTCTCTGATGGTGCTGCGGTTTTGATGAATTTTTCGGAGGACATATGGAACTGAGTGATCTCTCATTTTTTTAACGTCAAACCAATTCTTACAGATTTGTATGAAGCAGACACAGATGATGAATATTGACATTGGGAGACGTTGGCGTACCCGAATTTATCGAATCAATTGACGTCCGGAACCAAACATAGAAATCAAGAGTATTTATTTTGCAAATGAAAATCGCGTAGCATTAGGAGGAAATTACGATATACACTGTCTCTACTGATCTGTAGACAATAGTTGGATTTAATCTAGAAATTTCATAAGTTTCAGGAGAAATCAATGGCATTTCGGTTACATCAAGCATGTGTTCATCGCCAAAGCGTTTTACCGTTTGTTATCTTACAGCGCGCCGACACTGCACATAGAGAAGAACCTTTCAAAATCGGCTCCTCAAGCTCCATCGACGTCCTCTCCACAAACCTCTCGCCTTAGTTTAGCGCGCTTCTCAGCTTTGCTTGGTTATTTGCTACCTATAGTTTCCGACTGATTTACGTATAACGATAATAATGAGGCCATCCCATCGTAGCTGTATGCGCAACGTCATTTCCCACACAAAAAATCAAATAATTTTGACTGTGGTGGTCAATAAACGTCGAAAAATTTTTAACACGTTTTCCGTAAAAGTTATTACAAACGCCAGAAACGATGGCCGAAACAGATGCATTCAGAGCCGCTGTCCAATTCCCTCTCACAATTCCCGAATTTTGTTAGTTTTGAACATTTTACTTGTATTTCACTTTCCTGAGTTTACGGCAGTTTTTTCACCATTCAAAATACGTGAAGTCAATCTGCAAGTTGAAAACATGGAAAACTATTCTCCAACCGCCCCTTCATTTTGTCCAAACCTTGTTATTTGCTCGCTCAACTGTTACTGATTAGATACAATACGCGCTGGAGTGGGTACCGGTCACACGGCCCAGTAGTCACGCTGATTTGGCTCGGTCGTTCTCCATCAAGATTTTTCGAATTAATAATCATGTGCAGCGTAAACGAAGTCAAGCGTTTCCAGAATTGTGTGACCGTTTTTTCCTTCGTTTATATCACGCAGATGGGAGCAAGATTATTGATGTCTTCGCCTTCCTGTTTGATGATTTCTTTTTGATCACTCGGATAAAAAAGCAGCCGAAAAAGGTAAGCGATGATTGATTAAACAAGAATCTGATTCTTCGCGATCATATAAATTGAAGTTTTGTTGAAGATATTAACAAGTCACTTTATACTTTTGTTCGAGAAAACTCGGAGGCATTATTTCTGAATAGATAGTTGGTATGGCACTATTCCATAGGTCACTAAATCTACTAATGTCCGAACGATTTGTCACGGTTTTCCACTTTTCTTTCCCATTCGTAGTTAAAGGAATTATAACATTGCCTCTCAAGTTGGTTGAGTTATTTGCGAACCAGACCGCCCTATCGATCTTTTCATAACACACATCTAAGTTGGTGATCGGTTGTAGGAGTATGGATATACATGCTTACAATTACCTTTTATCGATTTCAAATCGGTAGGGTCTCGACAAATTTTGACTTCGTGGGATTAACACAGCCTGAACACTGTGTTGGTGATCCAACCTGAATGTTGACCATTTGCCTCCCACAACGAGAACGTTGTTTTAAGGAACAGCGAACATCATCGTGAATTTTCATGATGGAATTAAGTACCAAGCCAATAATCAGTTATTATCAATCAAGAGAATATATTCATTTGATTGTACACGTCTGGCAAGGCTGAATGACAGCTCTGTGCCAAGAATAGATTCACCTGCGGCAACATTTTAAAGGTTGATAACTGGGCTTTCCGCAGACTTCGTCCTCTGGCCTAAATACTTACCAAGTACAAAGATGAAATTGCCATCCAGGACATCCGGGAACGCAGCGTATTTCGGCGCTCACGAGAGATTTGATTCATTGCAATGACATTTCGAATTTATTGGAGTACCCAAAAGACATCGTCCACATCATCGAAAGCGATCGCTAACCACAAATATTGATCAATAAATTAAGCAGGTTTATGACATATTTCGGCATGCACCTAACAAACGCAAAGTCATGTTTCCGACACGTTCCCGCCTCTAAACGCGTCCCATATAATAATAGAAGAATTTACTATATATCTGCTGTTGTATTATTTTCAATGGAACTGCATCTCTGATGATGTTTGTTCACAAACCTGAAAGGTCCCAATCACGACTGACAGTTCGCCTCACTTGCAACATCAAAGGGCATTTAACTGAGCTTCAAGAGTCGTTTATACCATGCCACTCTAAGGCCTGCATCATGGTATGATTGCAAGACAGATAATCTAAGGCCGACATCTCCAAGTTGTTGCTGGTATCAGATTGCGTCGAAATATTTGCTACGAAATAATTATAAAACCGTATTAGTTTGTGCAGTAGATGCTTTAGTGCTGAAGGGGATCCCGGACCATCAATTTTGATGGCATATGACATGTATATGACATGGCAGAACACCGTCCACTGAGACGGATTTCTTTCTACACACCTCAACGAGAGGCAAATAGTGCGGAGTGGAAGGTCTAAATGAGAGGGTAAAGAGGTTCAGCATAGATTAGTGGTCATTGATTAAGGAGGGGCTCCTCGTAACCCTTTTTAGCGACTCGAAGAACTCCAAGAAATAGCGGCGACGTGTCTTTCACGCTTTCTTCCGAGGTCATCTGTTCGAGTGCCTCGATTATCTGGAATCGGTAAGCACCGTGTCACTCTCTCCCCCACTATTTCCACTTCTTTTCATTTTACAGCTTTAAACATAGGAAAATAAACTGCCAAGTGCCAGTAAAATGTCTGTGCCTTTTATAATGATGATAATCATAAAGCCTTAGTGTATGTCCGTCAAACAAGATACTACTATCGCAAAATATACTTGCACAAAAGTTGCTTTTCACGGGAGACGCAAATGTATCCGAGGTGATTTTTTTGTCTATGATAGTCTCCAACTGCATGTTCCGCAAAAACCCTCCTCCTGGTTCAGTTGATTTGGCATTTGAAATATCGCAGCATAATTTGTTTAAATAAACTACTCCCAAGGTTGTTTATCGAGCTGTGAGCGAACTTGTGAATAGTTCACTCTAGCGTACAAGTGTGCTTGTCTCTTCCATTTCGATTCCTAGCCACGAAGTTGGGGAAGACTGTGAGTAGCTGTGAGGGTTCATTATCTTCGCCGTCCGTATTGTTTATTGTTTTGTTTGTAAACCTCTCATCACAGTTTAGGAGAAAATCAACAGTGCATTGTTGTTTTGGCAAAAAAATGGAGTGCCTTACATTCTGATGTGCGTATGATCTGGTAGGATGTCAGAACATTTTGATTTAAGTGGAGTGTTGTCATCAAGTAGACTTACGCTGAACGATTCTGCAATCAGTTTTGGATGGCTTAGGTAAAACAACTTTCTATGTCACCTGATCACTTTCAATCAAGAACAATTCCCATAAGCTCTTTTGAATTCCAAATTCTTCTCCTGATAGTGGATTATTTGCTTGATCAGTGGCTATATCAAAAAATGACTTCTGACTAGCCATCTTATTAGGTGAAAAGTTAACTAAAATCTTCGCCTAATTTGAATGATACATTATGGATTTTTTCTGGCTAACATGATGGACAAAAAATTGAAACAGTTGAATGCTTTCTTACCTGAATCGTGCGCATTTCCTATCCACAAATAAGCACCATAGTGTGAGACCCACCTAAACAACACTCTTTCGAAATGTTAGTTCTTCAAGACGTTCAAGCGTATTCAGAAATAGCTGAGATCTATAGAATTCTTAAATAATTAGTCATTGGAGTATACAAGTAAGAGAATGGTGTGTTCACCAACTAAAAATGATCCTAAAATTATGAAAAACGTGTCAGCATATGAACAGGGTGAGACGCTATGCATGGAGGTAAAAGCGCAGTGGCCGTACGAAAATTCGTATTTCGAATCATTTGGGAGAAATTTAGGTCACGATTTCCACACTCTGGCTAGACCAATTTATTGCAAACAAACAGATCTGACAAAATATTCAAACTCATCGCTTCTGTCGAAAAATTGATGTTTTCTAGTTCACAAAAGATACATTGTGAGGGGAAACTAGCTTTCAGTCACCACTATGATTTATTCACAAAATGTAACAGTCTGCTGTCCAAATGAGTAATCGATTCGTTCCCGTCTGGAACATGATTTGTTCCAGTGAGAGGCTGGGCAAAATATCCCTGTGAGGAGAAACCACAGAGTTAGTTGGGTTCATTTTGATAGGCTTTTGGGGGCACCTGCAGTATCTATGTTACCGATGAAATGAAAAGAGCCTTTGTTGCGGAGTTAGTTATTTTAAAACGCCAAGTGAACAGTTACAGGCTATTGGACAGGAAAACAAAACTCTCATAGGCATCTTGTTGACAAAAACTGAATATCCATCTTCTCCCTGAACGCGTCTTCCTGAACTTTCCTGAATGTTGCGAATACGAATCAACAAAATTCCGTGATAGATCTCACTTTCCAAAAGATGAGAAGCGGATTTACGAGAAGCCACACTAACTTCATGTTCCATCAGTAGTATCCACAGTTACAGTGGTGTCTGGATTAGGGATGAAAATACTTATAAATTTAGTGTAGCGTTCCTCTTTCCCGGTCTTCCTAATCAGCGTGATGACGACAGTGATGTTGGTTTCAGGTTTTCTGTGCTCGTACCTGTGACCGTCTTTCCGTTAGTTCAAATGCCTCCATTCACCTTCAGTGAATTGGAATAATTTGAACGCGTCTTCCTGAACTTTCCTGAATGTTGCGAATACGAATCAACAAAATTCCGTGATAGATCTCACTTTCCAAAAGATGAGAAGCGGATTTACGAGAAGCCACACTAACTTCATGTTCCATCAGTAGTATCCACAGTTACAGTGGTGTCTGGATTAGGGATGAAAATACTTATAAATTTAGTGTAGCGTTCCTCTTCCCCGGTCTTCCTAATCAGCGTGACGACGACAGTGGTGTTGGTTTCAGGGTTTTCTGTGCTCGTACTACTGACCTGTGATTGTTTTCCCCTTAGTTCAAACGCCTCCATTCACCTTCAGTGAATTGGAATGATTTAGTCTTTTTTGTTTGTTGAATTCTGTCGGAAAAATCTTATCCGATGCTGGATATTTCTATCCGGTAATTTTGAAAGAAACAAGTTGCGCTGTTTCATTTTGTTTGTGTCTAAACCTTCCGTATTTTGTTGTCCAACGATGCAACACTTGGTCATTTTTACTAAACTTAGCACAGGAGCACTTTTTGCAATCAAATGAGGTATGAGGTATTCATTCAAATCACCACGACTCACAACTAAGATGTAATCGCCCTTTCGAAAGCGAACATTGCGCGGAAGGCGTTTCGTGGTAATACTGAAGGTATTTGACCCTTCTTTTGCTTACAATTTCAAACATCTGTGTATCTACAAAACCTACGCAGTTATGTAATCCAGTGTTACTCTAACTGCCTACCTCAAAACTTCCTCGTGAATACTAATCTATTTGTCCCGGCAGAGCATGTGACTATCGATCGATAAGGAAAATCCAAGGCCAATTTGAACACTACTCTAAAGAGAGAGGCTTTGCAGGAAAAGCCTGGTTTATTACTTAATTTGCTTACCTAAGTTGCTCTATTTCCGATAAGTCACTCTAATTGAGATGATCTTACGAATTTAGTGTTTTTACAGGGCTAAACCCTAGACAGTAATTTATATCTAATGTATTGTGTTGACTAAGTTATGGGCAAGGTTGATGATATTGTATCTATTGGACAGATTCTGTGGCGAATTCATTTGCTTTATTGCGGCGCGTCAACCGAATACCTCTTTTTACAGTGGCCAATATGCTCTAAGCAAGTTGGTTAGATTTGCATGGCAACTCACTTGCACTCACATAAATAGAATGCACTTAATTTGTCAATTACCGTCTTGCCTTCGAATTGACAAAACCACCGGTCGACCTGTCCTTAATGATGACATTTAGACCAGCCCAAAATATAGCTAGTCACGTGACGTATTTTATCAAGGCCAATAGTTGCGCCCTGCACGCAGGTGTTTTTCATCCTTCATTTAATTTATTACTATTATTATTCTTTGGTCTACCTTTCAACCATTGTTATTATTCTTTCGTCTACTT